GTCTCGTACTATGAAGACGGTATGGCGAACTTTTCGGTCTCCAATTGGTATTGTCGCTCGGATCTTACCAATCGTCTGAATTTTGTGACCGGTTACTCCCGTCAGAGTCATTCGATCCTCTCGTAACGGGGTGTCGTCCTTGCCATATTTCAATTTCATCAATGTAAGGGTTGCTCCTGTATCAACAAGAAGGCTTACTTTCCCTTTCCTTGCTTCCTGCATCGGCAAAGTTACTAGGTCGAGTCCAGTGCTCATTTTTGGTTTTCCGCTTACCTGCGTAATCCGATATTCGCGTGCAGCTCGCGATGTTTTTTCATTTGTGACTCACTCGTCTTCACTGCTGAAAAACGAGTCCCCTGCTTCTTCGGATTCCTTGATCGCCTTGGTGGCTGTATGTACCTGCGGCTTCTTCCGGGTCTCAAATTTTTTAGGTCGCGTACGCGTTCCCACAGTGTGTTTTTGCAACAACCAACATTCCTACCGTGAATGTCCGGGTTTCTTGCAATGTGTGCAATATTTCTCTACAGCATTTACCCCGGCTGGTTTTTTATCCGGTTTCGGCAAGGAAAATTGCTGGCCATATCTATTAGTACGGCATTCATCTCCGGAATGCCCTTGCTTTCCGTATTTTGTGCACTGCGATTTGTCACTGCGAAACTTGAATTTTATTTTCATTGGCCCTATTGAGACCTCAGGCATCGGCCATTGCTTTTTCTTCTGCGCTAGCCCCGTCTATTGCTTCCGCCAAAGTACGGAAACGCTGTGAACGCACCAGTACCTGGATATCTTCCCTTAAACCAATTTGGAAGTTCTGCAATGCTAACGTCTGCGTATGCTCATAAATAAGATGTTGCTGCTCGAGGTTGTGGTTTTTTCCTTCTTCCATACTCTCAAAGAGATCTATGGCGAGGTCTTCTACTCTGCGTCCGAAATCCTTCGCGCTTTCTCCCGGTTTTTGCTTGATCAAGTTAAATTCTCGTTGTAAATTAATAACGCTTCGCTGGCACAATACTTTGTTTCCATCTCGGCCTTGAATTGAGCGAAGTTACGAATACTGCGCGTGCGAAAATCTTTGCATGCTTTTCTCTTCAGTTTCGTACAGATCAGAGCTTCCAAAAACCAATTTTCGTCTGACGGATAAATGTTTTTCATCGCGTAGGAAGCGGCTTCCAAAAATTCGTGAACGCGATCCCGCGAGCTGCCGTCGATTTCCGGAACTAGCTTTCGCGCCTCGATCAAGCTCATGAAACTATGAGTCCGTCCCGGTTGGTTACGAATATCGTCTTGCGATCTCGAAATATTCAGCGCGGAGCTGCTGTGATCTCGCACCGAAATTACGAGTGTTATCCAGAGGCCTTGATGTATCTAATGTGAAGTTATGATCGTATGTTTCACGGCGTCGATCGCGGTGCCCTTCGCGTTGGTTCATCATGAGCTCATTCATTTGGGCTCTCATTTCACGCATTTCTCGCATCAGCTCTACTAGATTAGCCGTTTCATTAACAGAATTGAATCCGCGAGTTGCCTGTGCGTTATCTTGCGCACGGGCTGTCCCGTTTAAATTTGTCGTGCCGTCGCCAGTGCTTATGCTGGCTATTTCGTCACTGAAGATGACGCGGCGAGTTGTCCGAGCATTTTCCGTTTGCCCATTTAAATCTTAAATAAATGCGGTGTTCCGTCCTCCGTTCCTGCGGAAGATGTTCCCGCCTGCGGAGATTTGGTAGGAGTACGTGACATCATGTCTGTTCCGGTTGTGTTATCTTCTTGTATATCGTACGAAAATTGAAGTCTACGCCTTTGTCCCGTCCGTTCGTCTGACCCGGTGTCAAATTCGCCTGTGGCGTTTATCCCGAGTAAGCTAAAGTCGTTCGCGGCGATTGGAAATTCGTGCTCGCGAGTTACGTGTATGGGTAAGCCTGTTTCGCCCTCGATAGGAAAATTTAAAATCCTACGTACGCTATCTCGTATGTCTGGTAGCACTCCACTTAATTCGGGTACGGTATTTATAAATTTTACACGGTTCCGAAAAGGCCACGTACGCTCCGGCGACGAGTGACGGTGATAATGTCGATCGCTTGACACACGCAGATATCGACTTAATATGTACGGACTTACAATACGGCGCTCGCTCGCATGGTGGCTTGTTTTCGCTGTCCGGCTGGTCGGCTGGTCATTATCGGCGCTCGGCTCGGCTCGGGTTACGGCAGCGGTGGCCTTATATTCTGCCATGCGGCGTCAGCGTTGTCGGTGGTCAGGTCCGTGGCACCTCTAAAGCTGCTACGGCGTTGTCCA